GACATAAACACACAAATATTTTTGATATTTTTATAATCCCCACTGAACCATTTTTAATACCCCACTGAACCATTTTTAATACCCCAACTATATTTTTAAAACATTTGACGTATCTTTAAAAAAAAAACAAAGATATTTGAGGTGCAGAGTTACATTCCCTCCATTTAAATTTCCTTACCATTATCCACGTCCATAGGCTTATCATTGTCTCCATCCACGATGCTGGGCCCCGGTTGGTTTTCCAATCCTGCGACATCTATTGGTTCTATAAAATATATACATTTTTTTATGTTAATAAAATAAAGTGGTGCAAATAAGTTCTAAATGTAGACAATAGTAAATAATTGATACATACCCGGTAAATACAAAGTCGGGACCGCTGTCCTGCTAAGGTGCTTACTTAATTTATATTTATTTTCAAAATGATTGTCGCAAATAGCGCAATGCCTTACTCGTTGCAACTTTGGATTGCCACATGCAGCAATCCACTTGAGGCATCGCTCCTTATCTGTTTTAATATTCGGAAATGCTCTGAGCTTAATATTTTTCAGTGTCGAGAATTTGCAATTCGTTACCGCACATTTACGATGGTCCATTTTGAAATATTTATGATACCTAGATTAAACAAATGCAATTAATACGAGTTTGTTTTATTGAATATTATCGAAATTTATTTATCCTTTTACCGTCCGTACTGTAGATACAAATCTGCCTCTTCTTAAAACTACAAACTAATTTTCGAAAAGTCGTTAAACTTTGCTTTCACTCGTACAAATTTAATTAAAAGACCGACTTTTTATAACCCTGAATCTTTCTGACCACGCCGTCTTCCTTTTCGCGCCAAATAATGGTAGTAGCGTCCGTTGGACGCGTTGTGATGTCACTAGCGCCTCCTACCATTCTTGAAGTAACTAAACGTTACACCGATAGTAGAACGAATGTAGTAGTGCTCATTGACATATTTTAAAGATGTGGTTGTGATGTTTAGTTCATGAAAAAAATGGCCTCAACTCGCCCCATTTAGGTTTGCCCCCTCTCCCGGCTCGGTTAGGGCTCAGTGTGGGCCCTATGCGTGTTCTTATTGGTCAGTGTTTTTCGTTAGTAATTAAAAAACCATGCCTCACTTTGCATTTTGCCAAAGGAAATTGTTATTCAGAAATACTTCCAGAATCATCCCTTTTCGGCTCTAACACTTTTTCTGGGATACGTACTTTGGTACTTACAAATAGTAAGAGAGGAATAGTAGGAAGAAGAAGGACGCATTTACGATTGTGCCACCATAATGTTCTCTCTCACTCAGAGCTACATCGCCACTACTCTCTCTTTATTGTAAAAAATGTGTTAATACACTAGTGCGTCTGAAACATTTATATATCTGCGAACAGTCTGCCTTGTGAAATTTCATCAACTTTATGCTAACAGTAGCCTAAATTGTGCTTGGCAGACTTTAAAAAAATTGTTCTTAGTTACACGATTTAATTGCTAACTAACATAAGTATGCTTTATTCTTGTATTGGAGAAGACCGTCTGCCAATAAGCTTTTAGTGTTTGTGATCACGATTCGTGGTTCAGTCTGTATACAGGGTACACTTGTAGTAAACCTGGTAGTGTATATTTACTACAAACATATTCTGCTTTCATACTGACTGTGACCTTGAATGACCTTGAATAATTATAGTCACTGAATTCCTAATGAAAGGGACTATCATCGTAGGTGTTTAAAAAATGGTGGTTCCATTTAAATAAATG